GGTCCTCTTCGTGCTCTACACCGGTGCTGGTATGGCCCTCCTCCCCGTCGCCATGATCAAGTCCGCGCCATCCGTCTCAGCCCCCACGCTCGCCGCAAACACCGCATCCCAGCTGGAGAACAACCGCGAGCGCCAGAGACAGCTCGAAGGTCGCAACGAAGGCAGCGAGGGCGGACTGGACAGCAGGGACAGACGCGAGCTGGAAGCCCTCGTCCGCGAAGAGCGCACCCTCATCCGTCGCGAGCGTCTCGCTGCCGAGTCAAGCGGCGAGGACCGCCATTGGATCGTCAAGGCCTGGATCAAGACCGAAGCCTTCTTCCGCCCGCTGAAGCTCATCGGCGGCCTCATCCTCATGGTCTTCGCCCTCGTCATCTTCGCCAGCATGCTCATCACCGGCATCGACAAGGCCAAGAACTCCATCTGCGGCGCCCACTGCGGCTACATCCTCGGCCACATCAACATCTTCCAGCCGCTCAACTACATCCTCGTCAAGTCCGCCAAGGTCTTCCCCATCGACTATGTTATGTTCCTTCTCCTCGTGCTCTTCTTTTTCTCCGCCTCAGTCGTCGGTATCGCAACCGCTGGCATCCGCTTCCTGTGGATCACCATCTTCAAGATCCGCAAGGGACATACTTCGCCCCAGGCACTGCTCATGGCTACCGTTCTCCTCACTCTCATCACCCTCGCGATCAACTACTCCGTCGCCATGGTTGTCGCACCCCAATACGCGACCTGGGGCCCGCAAACCTACTGCGACATGAACACCAACAGCCTAGACGAACAGCCCGACTGCACCGAGCACAAGGACCTCATCAAGGCTTGCAGCGAACTTGCTACCAACCCCGCTGCGCAGCAAGTATGCACGCCCTCTGTTCTCAGCACCTTCATCAACCGCGTCACCATCAACTTCCCCTTCTTCGGTGTTGTCCTCTTCTGGGCTCAGTTTGCCTTTTTGGGTGTTTACCTCATCGTCTTCTTGACTACGCTGTTCAAGGCGCCTAGTCTGGACCAGGAGCAGATTGACCGTGATCTTGAGGAAGAAGAGGAGGAGGGTCTGCTGGCTAGCACTGGACGTAGGTTTGGTGCTGCGTGGAGTGATGTTACGGGTCGTGCCAGGAAGCCCGCGGGCTATGGTGCGACGGATAGGGATGAGAGGATTCAGTAGGTCGGAAGTGTTGGGATGTCTCAAAAGTGGGTGTAAATTGTTTTGTGAGGAATGGAAGGTAATTTGCTATGGGTTATGCGTGGGATGGTATACATGTCTTTTGGTCTTTCATGTTTCGGTTCAAGTTGTTTGCATTTCTCCGTCTTGTCTCTTTGGTTCGTATGATACCTCATTTTAGCGTTTAGCAAGTCTGCGAATACGTAACAGTATTTTATACTTGCAATTTCTCTTATTCGTAAGAGTATCTTTTCTTTAAGGTCGTCGATGTTGCTGAAGTCGTGAGTGGCTCGTTTCGCTCTGCGTCATCGCAGTACCATGGGATGAAGTGGATGGCAACCAAGGCGGTCACCGCGAATAGCCAGTGAGCGAGACATGACTTTGTACATATATATATCCTGAGTCCTGCCTCCTCTACTCTTCTACTCACCCTCTAGGATTTCCTTCTTCAGTTTCTGACACACTTCGCCTTCGTACCTAAACATCAACGTCAAGTCGCCATGGCCAAAGCCAAGCGCAAGCGCAAGCGCGCCTCAAAGCGTCCGCGTACCTCCTCGCCGGTCAAGAAGGAATGCTCCAAGGAACTCCAGGGTCCGGCTGTAGCTCTGCCTGAAGCTCCTCACCAGCAAGATCATCCAGTTCAGCACATTCCGCAAGACGTTCCTCGCAGTCCCTGTCCACGCGAACTAATGTGAGTTCTTCATCTTAGTAACTGCACACGTAACTGACAGAGTGTTTAGCAGCATTGCCAATGCCGCTAACTCGCCACTGCTCCGTCTTCCCGCCGAATTGAGGAACGAGATCTTCGCCTATGTCTATACTGACGCGGTCTATCACGTCGGGCTTACTGACTATGGTGGTGAACCACGTGCCAACCTAAGGGGTTCGGAGTCGTACCTGGAGAGATGCGAAGTCCACCTTTCTCTCGTATGCCGCCAGGTGCATGCCGAAACAGCTCTACTACCGTATGAGCTTGGTTCCTTCAGTTTCAGGTCACTGGGGTGGTGTTCTCACGTGGCGATAGTGAGGATGAGAAGTGTTCTGGAACGACGATCGCCAAGGCAGCTTCATGCGCTTGGTAAAGTGACGCTCTGGCGATATCCATACAATCGTCAGCGCTTCTGGGCACAGACAAGGACTGCCGCATGCTGGCTCGCGAAGCTAGATGGGATGGTCGTCGCCTCTGACGTTGAGATGTACTCTGGAGTACCCTTGCACTTCGACATTGCCGGTTTCGGTCCATCTGATTCCAAGAGGACGTGATGCGGAGTGGGTAATCGTCTTCTTCATAGGAGTTGTACCTAGCAATATTGGCAGCTACACATCTTTATACTCAGCATGAGCGCATAGTCTTGCATTGACTGCAGCTGTCAGCTCGGTACTGCTTTCGCATTTCAGGTGGGTCGGTACTCTTCCCGGCGTAGTAATGTGTTTGTATCTAGTGACGTCACCTGTTTACAGATGGCTGTCTGATGTGGAAGCTGCGACTCTTATGCCGGCCGGCTCAGATTAGAAGTCACTCTCACTTTGATTGGTCAGTCTAGCTTGGCCGATCTTCTCGACCCCTGCTTCTGTTGTACCCTTCACTCTTACCCTATTTCCATCGAAAAACCAATCGCAACTCGAGATGGCCAAGCGCAAGCGCCCAACGACCCCTCCCGCTACCACGCAGTCTGCGAAAGCAGCACGAGACGACAGGGCATCGCGTCGCGCAGCTGCTTAAGACATTCGCGACCAAGCTCGTCGGGATCGAGTGTAAGATGCAGCACTTATTTCAGCAACGTAGCTAACAGTATCTAGCACCACGCTCAATGCTGTCAACTCGCCTCTGCTTCGACTCCCGGCTGAGATTAGGAACATGATCTTCGCCCACGTCTATATAGGCATATTCTACTTTTACGACGAAGGTCCTGCGACAAAGCCCTCCGATCAATATCGCTTTATGGCCTTCGATCGATGGCTCGAGCGGCGGACATCAGACAAATTACCTCTCACCTGTCGCCAGATGCATGCTGAAACGGCTCTACTACCCTATTCGCTCGGTAGCTTCCGATTCGAGGGCGAAATGTTGGTATACCGAAAGCTCTGTGACCTGAGAAGATTTTTGGGAAGGCGAACGAGTGAGCAGATCGATGCGATGGCTAACGTGTACCTCTCTGAGTGGTCAGAAGCGTTGGATTGCTATTGGTACCAACAAAACACTGCTGCGTACTGGGTCGCCAAGTTGAAAATCTTCTCAGCAACTTACGCCAAGATGACCCCAATGGAATGTTATCTGTTCGATATCTCTTCTCTCGGACCATCTGATGATCGGGCGAGGCTTTCAAAGACCGAATAGTTCCTTTCTTCATAAGCGTTCCTGTATCTATTCGCTGAGACGACTGCATCCTCTCCGGTCACTGCAACAACTCAAATTCCATCCTCTTGTTCAGGTCATGATGAACTCATGCGAATCAAGAAGATTAATGAGCTTGATAGTATTTGAGCCACTGCATCTTCAGAGAAGCTGGTGATCGAAAAAGATACACGATGACTCTTCGGTAGAATATCCCTCCACAACCATTCCGAGTGTCGTACTTTTCATCTAAGGATCAGGATTTAGACAGTCAGAGAAGCATGGAGCCTCAAAAGCAGATCGTGATTGAAGGTCTGCGCCAAGTTCGCGACCCAGAACGCCCCAGTCTTCTCAATCACCTCGTGAGATAGAGATGCGTCATCCCGATATCCATCGAATGTCAAACTTGAGATTGCGCCAATTTGCTGTTTTGTCCTCCGATTCATGAACAGGTCAAGTGCGTGCAGATGATAGCACAGGGAATCGTCCTCGTCCTCGCCCCGGATATCAAACGACCCAAGACTGTATGGAAGCAAAGCGGTTTCTGCGTGAACTTGGCGACAAACACGAAGTAGGTTAAGATCGCGAAGTGTGTGGGCACCGGACTCGTTATTGATCTGCATACCGACAACGTCGCCATATGGCCAATAGTCGTCGGCAAGACCGTACTCGACACCACGGAAGACCCAGCCGAAGATCATGTTCCTGATCTCACCTGGGAGGCGGAGTAGAGGAGAGTTGATAGCGTTTGACTTGTGACTATACGACACTGTTAGCAAGATATCTATCAACGAAAGGTTGTAAATCTTACATATCGTCGCGCTCAGTCTCAGAACGATGCCGAGCACGGATCCGAGTCATAGCCTCTCGAATGATACGGTTGTCGTTAGCATCCCCATCTAGCTTCTGCTTTTTTGCCAAGGCGACGGCTGAAGGCGACAGAGCGCGCTTTCTGCCGCGGTCCATGATCTGCGCTTGTAGAATTTGGAGAATGGAAGTTTCAATTGATGGTGAGATGTAAAGAAAGAAGAGATGAGGGAGAGATATCGCTGTTTAAATACTAGTGAGGGGACGTGCATGCTGAATACTCAAGGTAAAGGCTGATCTCGATGTATGTTGGCCGTTTTGAAAACGTGGTCACCTCACCTTCGAGATCCGACAGCCGGCTGTGGATAGACGATGTGCACTCAATTGTACTGAAAGTGGGTGAACGATGAGCATGCTACCTGTTCCACTTTGCGCACTCATACAGCGGTAAGAACTAGACAGCCGTATGACGGCACAATATGCAAGCTGCCCCGGTGTTCCAATTTGAATTTCGCACTCACCTCGCATGGTAACCCAGCAACGGGTCAACGACAATAGCGCGCCTGCCTCATTCCAGCCTTGGCAGAGGCTCTTGCTCTCTCACTCCCGCACTGCTCTCGCACTCCCGTTCCACCGCCACACTCCTCGACTCCTTCGACTGCACTCTCTCGACGCTCACTCACAAGATCGCCATCAATGTCTTCAGCACTCAAGGCAAATCAAATCGCAGCCGGTCAAAAGTGGAAAGCACACAAGCGTGACAAAATGTGAGTCTTCCCACTTCGCAGTGGGAGTTTCATGACTGAAAATATCCTGTAGTACCGAGCTCAACGCGATCCAGTCTCCGCTCCTCCGTCTACCCGCCGAGATCAGGGAGATGATCTACACAAATGTCTTCCGCAATGAGATCTTCGAGCTTGATCAGAATCTCAAGCCTGATGTCGAGGCGTGGATCCTCAACGGGGCTGTTACACTCACACCTCACGATACCGATTCGCATCCTCAGAGATACCCAGGCATGGAGCTGCTTCTTGCTTCTCGCCAAATCTATCAAGAAGCCGCTCTACATCCTTACAAGCTCGCAACATTCGACTTCGGTGTCTCATTCAACTCCGGCCGCCTTGTTGGAATCGGTCCTAAGCATATAGCTATGAAGTTCTTTCTGAAGGAGAGATCAATGGCGCAAGCTGAGGTTCTTGCCAGGATGCAGGTCTGTGTGAGTGAGAGACAATGGGCTCCTCAAAGAGCTTTAGCGAGCATGGTGACGGCGAACAGGAGCACGGGGAGCATGAGGACGGGAGACGTTGCATACTGGGCTGCAAAGTTGGGCTGCCAGGACTTCTTCTCTTAGCTGTTCGAAAATATCTTGTTAAGGCCACGAGATCATAAATCACAACGACGGCGATGATGAAACTTCTACCAGTAGCTGTACTGTCTTTTAAGAGCATATCTTGTACTGAGCAAGGCTTCCACAATACACTCTCGACACTCTTCTTGCTCTTTGTGCACATCACAGCAGTCGAGGTGCGACAGAGTACTGCTGGTTCGTGAGCCCTGCGGCAATAAGACGTTCGGGCGTCAGAGCGGTCGTTTGCAATGACGTATTCTCAAAATGGCAACTGCTATGAGGTTCGGACTTACCTTAGTCACCCAGCAACCACAACAACAACACGACTTGCTCTTTACATCACCATACTTCATCCGCACGCTTTACCATTGCCGCTGCACCCAGTTTCGTCCATACTGCGCCCACAGCGCCACCTCGTCCCAGCGCATCCAGTCCCCGCAGGCAACAAGATGGCCGACGGAAGTCCCCACGAAGCTGTAGCGGAGGTGCACCTTCTACAAGATGCTTCTCGCCGCGACTTGATGTAAGTCTGCTCCTACTCATGCCCATTGGCTCTGTGACTGACTATCGATGCCAGAACAGAACTCAACGCCGCCCAGTCGCCGCTTCTTCGTCTTCCCGCTGAGATCCGAAACGCGATCTACACCTTCGTGTTCAGTGATCAGGTTTACAGATACGATGTATCAGGCAACAACGACTCCTCGATCATCTGTCGCGCTGAGTATCCGTGTCTTGGTCTGCTTCTCGCTTCTCGACAAGTCCACCATGAAACCGCCTTGCTTCCCTACGAGCTGGCAACCTTCGTCTTCGAAATCAAAGAGCTATGGAAACCTTCAGAACTACACACATTCGCGACAAAGAGATTGAAAGCGCAACTTGCAGCACTTGGTCTAGTGGAGGTTGTGTGGCGGAAGAGCAGACGGCGTGTGTCTGCAGCCGACTTCTTGACGGACTACGATGACGACTTGTTGGTCGATGGAGGACTCTGGGGTGATTGGTTCCACAATGTACTCTGCGCGTAGCAATCTTGTGCATATATTGGCAGAGGCACTTGCCGGAGCGGATGTTATTCAAACAGAATGGTTCAGTACCTTCAAAAACCTCTTTGAAGTATACTTAGCCTTGAGTGTTTGCAATAGAACAATTTCCTGATGCATCTACTATGAATAAATAACTACGTTGGGGTATCGATAACAGATTAAGGGAAGAACCATGCCATCTGTGAAAGTCGACGTCGCATTGGATGCGAAAGCTCCCCTCACTGTATGTGTCTTACCGAAACAGCCTAATCCGTAGGTGGACGTGCCCTTTCCCCATGACGCACGGCTACCCAGCGCCACGACAACGCGACTTCCTCATTGTAGCCTTGGCGTATTTTACTACCAGTGACACTCCCGCACTTCTCTCACGCTCTCATCTTACATCTACTCCACATCCCACAGTCTCACCTACCGCGCTCGCACACAACCATCTCGTCGGCCATGTTTCGGACCTCTTTCGGGATACAGATGCTTCACTGCGCCCGCCGTAGGGCTCGCCGTCTCAAGGCCGCGGCTCGCAAGCGGCTTCTCCAGGAACGTCAACGTGCTCGGCTGGAAGAAATGTAAGTCTCCCTTGTAATGATTGCTAGGTCTATATGTAACTGATCTGGTAATCTAGCTATAAGCGCAACGCTATACAATCTCCACTCCTCCGCCTTCCTGCTGAAATCCGAAACCTGGTGTATCACTACGTTTTCTGCGATGTAGTTGCTAATCTGGACGAACACTCCTGGTATTCTTACCAGGTTGCTGTTTGGAAGTTCTTCGGCGACAACGGTTTGAAACTACTTAACGTCTCTCGTCAGATCTATCAAGAAACCGCGCTTCTTCCGTACAAACTCGCAACATTCAAGTTCGGCCTCAGTAATACCTCGTGTTACGGAAACAAGCGCAATGCGATAGAGGGGTTCATGGAGAGGAGATCGGATGTTCAGATCGAGGTGCTCGGCAATTTGGAGCTTTTATCATACTACAATGGATATGAAGGCGTCAACTTGACTGGGACCGGTCCCTACTGGGTTGGAAGATTGAGTGAAGGGGACTCTATTCTATTGATGACTGTGGAGAAGTTACTCGAACCCTTCGGTTCTTGAGTCGCGGGTGGGACTTGCTAGCCACGTTGTATGTATCTTTTCGGAGCGGTTTAAATCGGAAGCAAGAACAGTCCTTAGCTTGATGCGGGTTCGACATGACTGCCCCATTTTGCACTTTGCGGGCGCTTTGGTCACACAGAAAGGAAAGCGCATCTGCCTGTATGCCGCCTTAGCAAGTCTTGTTCCAGATGTCTACTCTTTCTCTTCTCCTACGCTAGTCCGCTCCTACCGCGCTCGCCCAACTTCCTTAGGCCTATCCGCCTCCTGCGCATACTATCTCGCCCGCACATCCCGCATCGCCCCCAATGACGTGTCCCAAAGCTCTCACCCCGCCTCAAAAGCGCGCTGCGCTAGCTTCCACCGACGCACCAGATACCAATAAGCAGCGTACTTTGGAAACTCGTGAGCCGGAACCTTCTCATCACCCGGCCGTAGACAACGAAATGTTTGTTCAGCGTCGCGCAACTGCTGCGAAACATATCACTGACGAATCGTTGCAGTACCGAGCGTAACGTCGCAAATTCTCCGCTCCTTCGTCTTCCCGCGGAACTTCGCAATATGATATACGGCCGCGTTTTCGACAACATTACCTACAACCTGTATATGCCGTACGGAGACTACCCATTGTGCGAAAGCTCATTCCAAGAGGCAGGCATGGGGCTGATTCTGGTATCCCGTCAAGTCCATGACGAGACCGCCTATCTTCCTTACGAGCTCAGCGCATTTGATTTTCTGGTCTACGACGCCAACAAGAGTCGATGGAAGTCCGATGTGAGCAAGTTCCTCGCTAAGCGTTCCGAAGAACAGATCAAAGCTATGTCTTGTCTGATGCTACGCCGTTACTCCCATGAAGAACAGGCATTTGCGATGGGGACTGGGTTATACTGGGTCAAGAGGCTGAAGATTTAGAAGTATCGATCCATCGTGCGTCGTCCACAAAGTACTCGCTAGTATCTACTAGACTTTATGGGCGAAGATCGGAGCAGTCAGCAGGTCCTTGTAGCAGTCGCTTCTCACAAATCAATTTGATGCGCATCAACACCGCTGTTCAGTATCAATCGCATTTCATCTTTGAGCTATCACAGCCCACACTGGAAGCTAGTAAGAAACATAAATTCCGTAAACAATCAAATACGTAGCAACGGATGATGGATCTGGAGAGCCGTGACATGCACGGTTCATCTGGCATATGTATCATCAATTCGGCAGGCAGTCTCACACGTCAGAGTAAAACGCGGGAAGTAGACCTGCTCTAAGCCAGATGGTATATCCTTTCTTCTGCTCGCGTTTCGGGAAAGGGCACATTGCTGGTGGAAAGGTATGCTTTTGGCATGACGCGTTCTCAACTGATCTGACTTGAAGTTATGGCTTGATGTGGTGTCCTAGCAACCAAGGTGCAGGTGTTTACATATCATCTTAGCGAGCTCTCGCACACTCCGCCACCTTGCACCTGCACTGTTAGACTCCCTTCACTCACTCACTTCGCAACATCGCCGTTGTTTCAAGCGCACGTCAGCATGCCGTTGCCTCCAGCTGAGGCGCCCTCATCGAAGAAGCAGCGCGACGATAGGGCTTCCCAGAGAGCTGCGGTTCGAGATCAAGCCCCGCACAAGCAAGGTCTTCGCAATCAGGCTCGTCGTGATCAAGCGCTGCTTGAAAAGACGCGTCGGAAGAAGCCCGCTGCCGCCAAGGGCTCTCACCAGAAGGCGCTCCGCCGAGACATGCAAGTCCTCAGATTCACTCACCATGTTCAATAGCTAATGCGTCGCTTTAGCACCAGGCTCAATGCCGCCAATTCCCCTCTTCTTCGCCTTCCCGCCGAACTCCGCAACCTCGTTTACGGCTACGTCTTCGAGGACAATCGATACGAGCTCGGTGGTTACCTATTCACCGGCAAAAGGCCCGAAGAAGGGAACACACTTATCTGGCGAAAGTTGGAAACCAACGCTCTTGGTTTACTCCTTGCTTCCCGTCAGCTTCATGCTGAAACCGCGTTACTTCCTTACAAGCTCGGCGTTTTCCATTTTGAGTTTGAGGAACCCGACTTCGATGAAGATGAGTGGTATGAGGAGGTACTGCAAGATTTCTTCGGTGCTAGGTCCCGAAAGCAGATAGCTGCAATTGCTACAATGCAAGTCAGCACAGAGCAGATGTATGGCACCATGTGGGAAAAGACTCAGACTGGGGTTGAATGGGCGCAGGAATTCCAAGGTTGCTTGCGTGGTGATGCGTGGTGATTCAGAAGAGTGCTATTCAGGGGACAGTATACCTGAGCTCGCATGGATGTCATGAATCGGATCTTTTCCTGGGCCACTTTTGTCAGGACTGGAGAGCGACCGTCTGTTCATCTCGACTCGCATCAAGATACGCCGGGAAGAAGGCTCTTCGAATTAGTTTTGCAGGCAGCCGAGTAGCAACACAAACTGCACGTGCTTTGGTCGCTTTGGGCAGAGTTCTCCCAACAGTGCATGGTCTTGTATTGACAGCATCTCTTATCGGAGGAGAACCGATTGAATGAGCGCATTTTAAGTTTGTGGCAGTTGAGACACGCTGCTTTCGCTCTGCGTAATCGTAGTATTGTCCAATTAAGTGGGCCTCGGTATGGTAGCCTACTAGCGAGCTCTCGTAGAATGTACTATCTCTACTCTACACTCTTCTACCACGTCTCTCACCTCAACCCCACTTCGCTTCGCACAACTTCCAACACCTTGAGCGCTCACCGTCATGGCGTCTCCAGAGCGCGGGGAAGAGCCTCGTGTCGGCGCATCACCTACCAAGGACAAGACAGAACGCGATCGTCGAGCTCAGCGCAGGACAACGGTGCGTGAGCAAGCTCTGCGCGATCAGCTTCTCAAAGAACAAGCTCTTCAAATTGAAGCTCGCTGTGCTAAGATGCAAGTTCCCTACCTCTCAGACTGTATGCAATCATGGGTAGCTAATAAGATGTCCCAGCACTGAAATCAACGCAGTCAACTCGCCACTCCTTCGTCTTCCGGCCGAACTCAGGAATGGAATCTTCGCCTACGTCTTCAGCGACAACGTGTACCTGTTCAATGGCCCCAATGCGTATCGCGACAAGACCACTTCCATAACTTCATTCGACGAGAACAACCTGGGCGTGCTCGTTGCGTCGCGCCAGCTGCACGCCGAGACAGCCCTGCTTCCTTATCAACTCGCCTTCTTCCATTTCAAGTTCAGAGTTTCCAAGGTCGAATGGTCATACTGTGTGGAGAGGTTCGTGAAGAACAGAACTAAAGAACAAGAGCTGGTTCTGGACAAAAACATGATGGTCAGCCAGTTCGGGAAGTACGCAGGAGGTCATCGATACTACCATGGCACATCAGCTTGGGTCAATCCATATTATATGGAAAGGGAACTAGAAACATATTCGAGTTGGGGCCCCGACGAACAGTTGCTCGCGGTCAGCGATGCGGGTATGCAATAACCCAGTGTAGTGCCGCAAAGAGAGAGTGGCAGCATCTTCTATCAAGGTGCTGTCCGTAAAGACGCAACGAGACAGAAGGGAAACGAGAAGTATTCTTTCGCCGGTCATACATTAAGTACTTGTTTTAGCTTGTCGAAGTGGCGTACCAAGACTACAGCAGACAGAAATCGAATCAGTGTAGTCTATTCACCATTCGACCATTCGGCCAACGCACACTATATACCCTCGGCTGGTCAGGGAATTATGTTTGCAAACAGTGAGTCTCTTTCTCAACGTATGATTATTAACACAACGCAGCCGAATATAAACGGCAGTGTGACAGTGAATCACAAAGGACTCACTCTGAATGATCGCTCTACTGTGCGCCTTTCTATGCCACTTTGACAATATTCTGTACACTACTTCTACTCTACCTCCTCTCCTCTCCTTCAACCAGTACTCTGCCCACTGACACATCAGCCCCGAACGCAGCACAACATGTCGTCTTGGAGATTGCGCACCCCCCAGGATTCGTTCTACAACCGAGTCTACGCTAGACCCGCGACGTACGCGTCATCCCGCCCTCTTGAAGACACCCACACTCCTCAATGTCGAGCTCGTCGCGACAAGATGTAAGAGCCTCAATCCCTAATCTCACGAATGCAAAACTGATAAACTACGTAGAAGCGAGCTCAACGCAGTCAACTCACCCCTCCTCCGCCTACCCGCCGAGCTTCGCAACACAATCTATACCTACGTCTTTAGCAGCACAGCCTGCGGCTTTGTAGACCATAACACCGACAGGGACTTCGATCCCGGTCAGATATTCTCGTTCCATAGGTGCAATTTCGGCTTAGTAGCCACATCTCGTCAGCTCTACGCTGAAACCGCGTTGCTTCCATATAAACTTGGGTTATTTCAATTTTTTCTCCACCATCCGAGAGCCCCGTGGGAAGTTTATGTGAGGGCTTTCATCGGCAGGAGATCAGAGGAACAGCTCAGAGCTATGAGCGAGGAGTTTGAAGTCTGTGGATATGATCCTGAGACCAGAAACGATAGGCCATATTGGGGTACTGGGGTGCAATGGGCTGACGCATTCGCTAAGAATGATGTGAAGGCATTGTGTCCGGAATGGTATAAACGAAGAATAGGGGAAATCTGAGACCGTTAGGAGAGCGTCCATGTATACATGCGGTGGTATTCATCGAGTTACAAATCTATGGGTATTCTGGCCATTGCAGTTGGTCACTACATTAGCATCTTACCTTTCAATCAAAGGCATGTGAGTATACACTGATGCGAATGCTCATGGTACTTGATTCCTCGGCGGACGCAGTTCATCTCTTCCTTAAGTCTTGCTGTGTGAAACATTACATGGCGACCGGAGAACTGTAATGAAGGGTCAAATCCGATATAGATCTCCGGATGAGCGACTCAAGGCGGTGGTGCACCCTGCCCTCCGCCGGCAGCTAGTCAAACAACGCTAGCCGCATTCAACAAATGGACCGCCCAGTTGCTCTCACCTTCTACGACGCAGCCTTGTCGCAAGATCACCTCGCTTTCTGCAGCCCAACTCCAATTCATCATGGCACCACGAAAGCGCAAAGCGCCATCCCCGGCGACTGCAGCATCCGCAAAAGAGATTCGAGACGAGAGAGTTCGTCGAAGGGGCGTGATACGGGATCTAGGTTCACTCGATCGGCTGTAAGTACCATAACAAGCTCTACTACTGGTTTGTCTGACAATTGGTACAGCACTGAGCTCAACTCCATTAACTCACCTCTTCTTCGCCTTCCGGCCGAGCTTAGAAGCATGATCTTCACCTACGTCTTCAGCGGCGAAGAGCACCTTTTCAGTGGACGCCGAGGCTACCTTTTCTCTTATGCAGGATCGTTTACGCTATCGGACATGAGTCTCCTCCTGGTCTCACGTCAAGCCTACGCTGAAACAGCCTTGCTCCCATATAAGCTCGGCACGATCCGTTTCCTCTTCGATCAATACTACCAAATGGACCAGCGGAAGCAGAGCATCGAGTTCTTCCTGATGAATAGATCAGTCGAACAGATCAAAGCGATCGTCAGTCTAGAGGCTTGCGAGGAGGAGGAGGAGGAGGGAGACCCTTTTCCGGTGACGGACACTGGGATATGGTGGGCCGAGAAACTAGGTGTCTGGCAACTTCGCCAGAAGGTTCCCGGAAAGACATGATGGTACAGCACAGGCAACATGAATTGGATCTTATCTGGACTGTCTGTGTCAGGACGAGAGAGCGACCGTATGTCTGGAATGGGAAAGCTTCGGAGCGAAGGAATGGGGTAGCGAAGAATAGTGAAACCTGGCAAATGTAGATAACACGCCTTGCCCTCTATTGCCGCTCTCAGCAGCCACTAGCTTACTAGAGAGTGTTGCGCCTATACAAGTCTAGCAGCCTGCTCCCAACCTACTTCTCCTTCCCTGCTCATCAACCGACCAACTCGCTTATATTGCACCACACGCAGCACAACGCACCTAGATCACACGAACACGCTCAGCAATGCCTTCTCCTCTCGACGACCAGTCCACATCGAAGGAGAAGCGCGACGAGAGCGCTCACGACGGGGCTGCGACTCGAGATCTCCGCGAGCAAGCTCGTCGCGAAGAGATGTAAGTCACCCAGCTTGCCGAGTTTCGAGAATTGATGTAACGTTTGTAGCACCGAAGCCAACGCTACCAGCTCGCCTCTTCTCCGGTTACCAGCCGAGCTACGCAATACGATCTACACCTACGTATTCGGCGATAACAAGTGGATATTCGCCGACTGGGACCGTATGAGGGGAAGCAACTCATTCAAGAAGAGCAATCTGGGGTTACTCCTTACCTCTCGCCAGCTTCATGAGGAAACTGCCTTACTTCCATATATGCTTGGAAGGTTTGTCTTTAGAAACACATTCGGAGGAATCGAGATGGGAGACGATCGAGTGGACGAATTTCTCGAAGGTAGATCCGAGGAGCAGCTTGCAGCAATTGGTAGGTTGGCGGCCATGCGGTTTGATAAGAAACGCGGTAGATACGCATACACTTCTGGGACAGGAGTATACTGGGCAAAAACGCTGGGATTGACTCGGGAATAGTAAGATATCCGGTTGCTAGCCTCGTCTTTGGCTGGATGTATCCTTCCCTGGACTGTGGGTAGGGCGGTGAGGATACTCATCGAGGTATCCTCTGAGCAGCGACGTCGGCATGCCTGATGCATTAGCGGTCAATACTACACCCACTTCACATACCCGTTCTCCCAATGACTTGACCATGCGTGCGCACATTGTGCACTCTTCAAACGCCAGATGGGCGGCGGTGAGGTGAATATTCCGCTTCACATCTCCGCAGTGACGCTCCCGATTGGCCAGAGCGGCGCATTCCTCTCGCACCTGCGCGCGCACTCAGGGCCCTCACCGTGAGTGGCCATGCATCGGGTGACGCGTGTGAAGGGCGCGCATCGACGCGTTTTGTTGTTGTTTTCTTCTCGTTCGCGTTCCGAGTTTTTGACTTCCTCTCACCACCACGACCACTCACTTTCGTGTCGGCGGCCAACTCTTTCCACGCGGGTGTTCTTCGACTGTACAGCTTTGCCAGATTAATTGTACCCCTTACGACACTTGTACACCTCACCCTAGAGCCTACATCGACGTTGTACGAGGTGCACATCCGCTCGAACCCACCACCGCCATGGCGCCAGCTACCGTCTCGACGCCGCAGAAGCGCAAAGCTTCACTCTCGCACGCCTCGGCCTCGGCTAAGCGTACTCGATCCGTCTCGATATCCGTCAAGGTCACCCACACGACCGCCGATGATGGTCCCGGCAGCCCAGATCTCCCTGTCGTACTCAAAAACCCACAAGCGTGTCTTGGTGGCATACCGGAAGAACTTCTCCTGAAGATCATGGAGCATGTAAAGGAAGTCGGCCGCGACGACGCACTCTCGAAGCTGTGTCGCACAGACAAGCTCTGCAAGCGAATCGCGGAGGTGGTAATGTACAAGACCGTACACGCCCTAGGGTCTTCCATGTACTATAAGAAGGCCGCGGCGATTGCCAGCAACCATCTCCTCTCCGAGCACGTCCGCGAAATCAAGATCTTCTTCAACGGGAAAAGAATCAACAAGGACGCATGCAACAAGATCTTGGCCAACGCCCACGACATCCAAGCGTTCCACGTGACGGAGACATATGACCGGCCCGAGCATACACGGAAATGGTTGCAGATATTGAACAGCGCTGTTGCGCGACCCGTCGGTGGTCATCTCAATCGATTTGCTAAGCTCAAGGAGCTCAACATCGGTTCCCGCAACCTCTCGGTGGAGGAGCTGTCCTGTGTGTTCCGTCTTCCCTCCCTCGAGACACTTACCCTCGAGGACATATGTCAAACAACACCTGTTGAGAACTGGTCGGTCCCCGAGTCGAGTAGCTCAATCCGAAAACTTCGCCTGGTTTACGCGATGATGGATATTTCTGTTATCGCACAAATGCTCCTCACGCTCAAGGCCCTCCACAGCTTTCGCTACCAACGCAGTATTGGGAGGTGGGAGCCGTTCGCCGCCGAAGACAATCCTTTGTCGATCTGGCCTGAGCACTCCTGGAAACTCCTGGGTGATGCGCTAAGGGGACACCGACACTCCTTAGAAGCAGTGTATGCTACCGACAATAGCGACAAAGACATCCTAGACGTGGTGTATCCTAACGGTCGGGACGTTGATATTCTGGGATCTCTCCGAGACTTTCCGAGGCTGAAGTGTTGCCATGTCCCGGTAGAGGCATTCCTCGATCCTAGGATCGGTGGAAATGATCTCTCATTGTATCTACCACCGCAAGTGGGAAAGGCTGGCACCAAGGTCGCACCGAAGGGTCCAGACTGTGGATGCGGTTTCTGGAGGTCGGGCTGGTGTGGATAGTCGTTACGTATCTTTCAGGTCGAGATTTAAGATGGGGAGGACATCGAGTTGTTTGTAACGTTCGGTGTGTACCAGAGTCTTGTTATTGACCTGGCTGCGTTTTGGGCCTGGTGTGTCATATGAAGGTGCGTCTTCTACAAGTAATTAGTTCGATAATAATGTCTAATGGTTGCAAATCACCGCGTTACCAGTATCGTTTTCGGCTTTGCCTACACATGTTCTAGGCGCGCCTCTGTCGGATTGCGACAGCAGGCAGGTGGCCAGTCGCCGACGCGTCGCTGTACGTGAGTGCAACTCTGATCGATATCGTTGTGATAATGAGCTTCATGAGTTTCACCGCATATGTACGGTGGCAAACATCAGCTAGGCAGAGATGCCTCAATCGTGAAGGTTGAGGCAAGCGCGCTCGCGTCGCGTCGCGTCGCAACGTGATGACGTAATATTGATTTCGTTCTTAGCGTGGCTCGTTCCCCTCAGACATCAGAACCACGACCTCGACATCTCAACCTCCGTGCATCATTTGCTAAACACCGGTACTCAAATTCTACGCAATTCCGAGTAGACTTTACTTTTTAATGACAGCTATCGTGGCCTCTCCACGGCGCTCATCCCGAAGCCCAGCGTCTGCTTATCCCTCCCTACCGCAACGTTCGTGCGCTTGTTGACTATCGCCCCTGTCGGAGTTGCGCGAATAATTGTTTCTTTCTTCCGCGCGTTTGCAGCGATTACGAGGGCCTTCGCTGGCCTTGGTCGCGCTCTACCGTATATCGTTGAGACATTCCTTAGGCGCGGAGGCCTTCCGCTCGTGGTAGGTACAATCCAAGATTCGACGCCGCCGAGCACCACTACGCGCAGACTAAGTTCGCACATTCCCTTTTCTATGATCTCCTTCCTCTTATCTCCTCTAGAGTCTGGCTGCGAACGCCTCTTGTCCAGGTGTTGTATATTGGTCCGCATGCCCAGACGCCTTGGAAGTCTTGGGCTCCGCTAGCGGGCCGTGGCAATGATGTTCGCTCCTTTCCCGAGGCCCTCCCGACAGTACCAAGCCGGATATCTGTGGCGCACCATGTGTATACGAATATCGCTGCTTGGCAACAGTACTCCACTCAAGAAGTGTATGAACACCTTCCCTATCAAGTTAGCGGAATGGTAGTCCTGACCTTCCGCATGGAGTATGGATGCCAACGGATGCCCAGAGTATATTGCTGTACCAAGACGGTAACATGGTACTGAATGGTCGTGTGGCAAGGCAACGGTCGAGGGCGAGATCTTGCACCATGAGGGTACCACACTCATATATATACCTGTTGAGCTGCATGGGAAATGTGCTCATTCCAGCTCAATCCTTCTCTTAGCTCCTCAAGATGAAGTTCTCACTCGCTGTGTTGGCACTCCCAGTTGCGGTCCAGGCTGCGCACTACTCCAAGTCGGAGTATGCCTCTGGCGCAATCCATCAGAAATTGATGAAGTTGAAGAGTGTATGTTCATACTTTGCTTCCTTCGCCTGACGATCGGTACTAACAGCTTTCAGGATCAATGGGAAGTTGACGCAGCTCAAGGCAAGCAGGATTCCCAGCAGTGGAAGTCCTTCAAGAGCTTGAAGAAGGGACCTCATGGACCTGACAAGGCCAAGCGTGTCCAATGCAAGGACGGTCTCGCCATCGTCGAGCAGGGCAATGCGAACCAGACGTTCAGGTGTAACAACATGGACCTCTACGACTTTGTCAACCACGCCGACATGGGAGGCCCTGAAGGCCAGGGTAGCTCTTCGTGGGGCTGGACCGCTCGCAATGGCCGTGAGTTCGGTATCGTAGGCCAGTTCTCTGGTGCTGCGTTCGTTGAGATCCTCAAGGACGGCCAAATCCAGTACATGGGTCGCCTTCCCGCACAAAGTGTGGGTTCGCGATGGCGCGAGATTCGCGTACTGAACGACTATGTCATCATCGGCTCCGAGGCCATTGGTCACAACGTTCAGATCTTCGACATGAAGAAGCTTCTGAGTGTCGACCCGAAGACGCCGAAGACATTCGACCCCAAGGCTGACCTCGTTGGTCTGTTCGACGAACTGCCCATCGGCCGCACCCACAACGTTGTTGTTGACTGGGACAACGAGTACATCCTCGCTGTCGGTGCCCAGCCCCGAAACCAGACCTGCAAGGCTGGTCTCCAGTACATCGACCTCAAGAACCCTAGCAAGCCAACCTCTCCCGGATGTGCTAGCCAGGACGGATACGTCCACGATGCCCAGTGTGTGACCTACAACGGTCCCGACCGCAAGTTCCGCGGCCGCAACATCTGCATCGGCTACAACGAAGACACCATGACCGTCTACGACTCCACCATGAAGAACGGCAACCCCGCCTCGGAGGTCATCTCCACCCTTTCTTACCCCGGTGCTACCTACTGCCATCAAGGATGGTGGACCGAGCGCAACTGGCACCAGTACGTCCTCCTGAACGACGAGCTTGATGAGCAGGAAGCTGTCGGTCCCGCTGCGTCCGGCCGCCCCGTTACCCACATCATCGATCTCACCGACCTCCGCAACCCCAAGGCCACCGGTACTTTCTACGCCACCGACAGCAAGGGTATCGACCACAACCTCTACATCGTCGACGGCCTCGCCTACCAGAGCAACTACGGCGCCGGTATCTGGGTACACGATGTCCGCAGCATTAGCAAGGACCCCACCGGCAAGGGCGTCAAGACCGAGGGCTTCTTCGACATCTACCCCGAGGATGACTCTGTTGGTGGTATCGTTCAGTTTGTTGGCACTTGGTCTCACTTCTTGTTCCCCTCTGGATACATCCTGGTCAACACCATCGAGCGTGGTGCGTTCACCGTCAAGCTCGCCAAGGGTCGCGGAGCTAAGCGCGGTCCTGGCTTCGGTGGAAAGTCCAAGGGCCAGGGCAGATAATCGCCTTGTAAATAGTGTAACATACAAAATCACATCTTTATTACTTCAAGTTTAGTCATCGCTGATATCCACACTTTGCATGCAAGGTTGTTGAGTAGCTGGTCGTCGCAGGTATACTTGGCGAGCGGACGCGAGCGAGCTGTTGCACCCCATTCAAAGGAAAAACCGAACATCCTAGAGCCTACATTAAGATAAAAGCTTGCGAATCTAGTAGCCTAACAGCGACGTAGGCTCCTAGGTGTTTAGTTTTTCCCTTGTATGGGGTGGTTGCAAGCGCATGCTGAGCATGCAGAGCGCGATTCACTTCTGTCTCATCCAACGTGCTGGAGGAAATAAGGTAGAAGATCCACGTGCTCTTGCCTTGTCTTACCCAGGCGGAATGTTGTCGAACGTGTCACTGCGTACCTGCGTCATTCCACTAGCGGCTCTTGGCGAGTGCTCTTGCCTTCTCTATTTGTTTACTCCCACCTTCTACTACTCAACCTACTCCGACACCAACTCTACCGCCTCGTAAACGTCACCACTGGCTACAAGACGACTGATGGCGCCCACTACGTGAGTCTTCTCTTCTACTCGTCGCGCACCCAAGGGATTGTATACTGACTTCACTCCAGACGATCCGGCAGCAAGCGCGCAAGCGGCGAAGCTGTGGACACCAAAGTCACCAAGAAAGCGAAACGTTCGGTCAAGACCGCTGCGAAGCCTGCGAAGAAGGAGGAGCCCGCAAGCGAAGCTCCGCAGTACTTCCGCTTCCTCGATCTTTCCCCAGGTATGCCTTTTCTGCTGTGTTCCGCGCAATCTAAATGCTAACGTCACTTAGAACTGCGGAACAGAGTATACGAATACGCCAGAGAAGACGACTCCACCCGCTTTGCTCCACGGCCCAATCAAGACCCCCTACGTTTTGCTCACCCCCCACGCACAGTGCGTCCCTGGAAGTACTTCGCTCTAACTCACGTCTGTACACAAGTCCGCGCAGAGTATCGTCCTCTCTGGGTTCGGGATCTTCGTGTTGCATTCTCGGCGACTACTCAGTTAACCACCTTCCTCGATACTTTTCTACGATTTGAGAACGAACCCAAGCACATGCCGAAGCTCATACAGTACTTATGGGATCATGGAAACGACGACCTGATGAGATTCAATCTGACGCGCATTCTGCTTGTGCATGCACACTCTCCATCATCGCAATTTGCGCTCTTTCCTGAGAGCGTTGCTCTAGGATCGAGTGTAGACGGCGACATCTGTCAAATGTGTCTGAGGCGATATCACAGAGAGGAAGAAGGCCTGTATCCATACAGCGACGATGACGACGAGTGCACCTGTCCGGATTTTGATATGAGCCAGAGCGAGTGGGAAGAGTTCAAGCACGACCAGATGGAATACACTTCCGACATACCTGTATTCGTTCACAATACGAATGAGGCTTGGATCAAAGCTGTACAGGAGAACAAAGTGACCGTCACTTGCTCATTCTGTCATTGGAGCCACCATGCCATCTTCAAGATTCTCTACAAAGATCCAGTCTGCGAGACGACGGCTGATTCTCAACCGGCATGGGATTTGATGAAGCAATGGGGCATCCTCGACCTTCCAACCAAACGAGGAACAGACTTCATATTCGCGTACGAGGATAAGCAGACCACGGAAAAAGACGGTCACAGCATGGCACACTCCGTCACACGCCAAATCGTCTTTCGGAAGACACCTTCGAAGGCCTAAGGATTGAGAGATGTATGGATGTGAGCTAGTCTTTTGAGCACATGTGAGCTCTGTACGCCGACGCAGGCTTTCTGTTTCGAGATGAGTGTAATGGTACTGGAGGTTGATACTGAGTTAGATCTACATAGCCACCTCATGCAAGGAAAACTGAACAGGTCTGCAGACTACATTGACCCATAACCTTGCAAAGTAGGTGACCTAACATCAACGTAGGCTCTGGGCTGTCTTGTTTTTCCCTAGGTTGGCGTGTAGCAAATCCGGACAATTGCTGTTTTAACATACACGTTGAATGACAACGCCAGTCTCACCGCCACCAACAGTGCAAAGCTCTAAACAGAGTAATTCCAATTATCAAATTTTTCATTCCATTCTCTCTCGAGTATGTCTAAACGTAAATGTGCCTCTACCAGACCATCAATCAACCAGCTGCTGACCCAAATACACAACGCTGAATCATACATGAAAAAAAAAGATCAACCAACAAAGATACCCAGGCCATATGTGAAGTCGGCCGTCAATCATAAAAGAGACGCTCCCAAGCTATGCCCCTTTTTGTTCCCTGACCGGCGCCGAGCAGAAAATCGCCGCTCTTGATGCTTTCCCGCTCCCAATATACGCCGTAAATGCAATGCACAAGAGATTCATCATAGGCTGGCTTCCGTACTACCGTCGTCAAGGTCGTCGGGGTTTGCGACGCCATCTTCGTCCTCGGATTCCGCTTCTGATGTGCTGTCGCTGTCATCATCAGCATCATCTTCGTCATCGTCTTCCTCGTCGTCGTCCTCCTCATCTTCATCATCGTCGTCTTTTTCGACGGGCATACCGGGTACCGGCCGCCATGCTACGTAGTCGTGCTCGACCCAGCGCTTGCTCCGTGGGAGCACGTATGGATCGAAAGGAAAGTATGCGTCCAGGAGGAAAGCTTCCTCGCCCTTCTTGCTGGTGAGAGCAGTCTCTCTGCCGCCGATGCCGTTGAGGTACCCACTGGCCAGACTGCGAGACAGTCGTACACGCTTGTTTGTCTCTACCAGCGTATCGATGTATGTGAAGCGGAGATGCTTGGCGATGCGGCCGAACTGCTTGACGATTTCCGGTGCGCAGATTCTGAGTGGGTTCAGCTTGCAGAAGATGTTGCGGCGTATGGTTTCGAGGGTCGACCGGTGCCACTGGAAGTCGCCTTCGTGGTACATGATGTCTGCGTCGGTGGGCAACGTGCCGTCGGGTGTGACGATGAGATCGCGCCATCGGAAGCAGAAGGCGTATAGCAGTGCCTGCACGATGGCGTAGTATGTGCCGTAGCGGCGTAGGTCTGGGCCGATGCACTTGGGCTCGTGTGCTTTTCGCTGGTCCTCAAGCTGGGAGCATAGTGTGTCGAAGACGTCGCGAACAATGGAGCCAGGAACGTGCGCGCCGCGCGCGATGTAGGAGGCGAGGTAGGCACATGCGGCTGAGCGTAGTAGCGGGGGTCGGTTCCGATCTATAGCCAGGTGCGAGCAGGTGTCTATGAACCGCCCCATGAATTCTGTCGAGATCTGGCTGAAGTGGAAGAGCACGAATTGAGTATGCCGTGAGCGGTAGGTCGGGATGATGATGGACTGGAACTGCGCGATGAGGGTTTGGTAGGTGCGATCCATCTCTTGATAGTCGTTCCGTTCGAATACAGAGTCGTAATAGGAAAATTGCACGTCCATGACGGTGTCGAGCTTGAGCATCATGTCTTTAATGTCTTTGAGTCGCTGCTCTTCCGGGTCGAGGCTATCCTCACTCGATACGGAGCCGTCATCGCTCACGTCGTCGTCGTCGTCTTCCTCATCGTTGATGGCCCCGTCCATAAGTCGCTCCTCCAAGTCGTCGTCAATCTCTTCCATGTCTACCTGCATCTGCGCGTCGATCTTGCATAGCTTGTCCGTCACGAGTGCCAAGATTTCGCCTCTGATTTCCGGCGCGTACTCTGTGACCTTGAAGATGTTCCGGATGTACTCGACGTGGACCTTTGCGGTGTCGTTGGAGAAGGGGAAGGTGCTAGAGATGACGGGCGCGAGGAAGGAGCTCGCCATCGGACTGTATTGTAATATGCCCACGAGGGTCTCGTGTACGCGTGCTTGTAGGCGGACTCTTTGGATCGGTGGGTCGTCCTGCTGCCTGGCGTTGACGGAAGGCGCACTCAGGAACATGTCGACCAGCATCTGCAGCACGGTCGACATGTAGCTCGACTGAACCGAGAGCAGCCTGCGCAGGAACATTCGGTAGGAGCGCAGGAAGTCCTCATTACGCGCTATCCAACTGCAATCGATGACGGCATGCACCAGGCCCTTGCAGTTGCCGTCAAGTTTTGGCGTGTGTTCGGTGAGTGCGATGAGGTACTTTTGCAAAAGTCGCGATAGCGGTGCACCTGTGGACGTTGGTGCTTCCTTGAAGAGGGCTTTGAGCCCATCGTAGGCCGCCTTGTCGCCGGTCGCATGCCTTTCGATGGCGCGCCGCACCTCCTCCCCCACCAGCTCCAGACTCTTCTCGTGGTGCTCGCTCAGTATCCGCACGTTGACTTCGGGGTGGAAAGTGACTCGGCGGCGTTTGAGCGTGTCTGGGGTCGCGTTCTCGGCGTCGGACGAGTTGTCGATTTGCTTGCGTTTGAGGCTGCCACCCGCGCTCGGGGCGGCGGTGCCGAGAGTCCTGTTCATTGTGGCAAGAGCGACCATGTTGTGGGCAATGTGGTTGGCGAAGGGTTTACATCTGAGCAGGAGCGCGAGGTGTGGGAGATTGTCGTCCGTCGGTGGGCTGGTGAAAATGGCAGCGAGGACAGCGGGGGTGAACGCACGCGACTGTGCTGCGAAGTATTGAGCCCGAGAGAATTTCAGCGGGTCACTTAGGTAAGCCAGTAGTTCACCATGGTTCGCCGATCCAACACCCAATCACTGCAACAACGAATGATGCGATTCATTTGAAATCGTAGAAATGTATTTAGTTTCCTATCCATCGCTTGCCTGTATCAGGATTGGATAACCACAGCTTCGCGAAGTCGATACAGACTGGTTACTCGCGCTGGCCCCACCACGCACTGTTCTTCTTCGCGCTTCGTTTGATCAAACCATGCGTTTCAGGCTTATAATAGATTCTCTAGATCCTACCTGAGATCTTACCTCGAGGAGTGGCGTCTTTTTGTTGTATGATCTACGAGCTCACATCTCACCGCATTGTGAAATGGCAATGTCTTGCACTGGCTTCCCTTCCGGGTTGGCTACTGTTCGCGTATTCTCGATCTTGGTGACAACGTCCATGCCTTCGATGACATTGCCAAAGACAACGTGCTTGCCGTTCAGATGAGGGGTGCCATTCTTCGCAGTGATGATGAAGAACTGGGAACCATTGGTGTTGGGACCTGAGTTCTGCAACAGTTAGTATGAGCTTGTCCGTGTAAGCTGCGAAAACTTACAGCCATGGATAGAAGACCCGGCTTGTCGTGTTTCAGGGTGAAGTTTTCATCGGCAAACTTCTCAGTCCCCCAGATAGTTCTTGAGCCAGTTCCGTTGCCATTTACAAAATCGCCGCCTTGGATCATGAACCCTTTGATCTATGTTCACTTAGCATGTGAAAGACAGTGCACTGTGATGCTACTTACGACGCGATGGAACTTGCAGCCTTTGTAGCCCTGCGGCTGTCCCCGGCTGTTCTTGGTCTCGCCCGTGCAGAACTGGCGGAAGTTTTCAGCAGTCTTTGGGACTACATCTCTGAACAGTTCCATCTTGATCCTCCCCAGCTTCTCCCCTGTTCGCTTATGTCAGTCACCATGGTCGGGTAGCGGGCGTTTGCCCAACTGTGGGCTAGGCCAAGAAAGACGCGTAGCAGATGGCGCGGGGTGAGGGGTAGCCACTACTGGGTCACATGGGTGGATGCATACCTCCTAGGGTGATGTCGAAGAAGACGATTGGGTTGGGCTCGGCAGTCTCCGCCATGGTTGCGGCAGTGCAGTGCTTGAAGAGCGGACTAGTGACGTTGGACGGGCTTTGGCAGTGATGATCGAGGGAGTCGCACGGTAAGTGAAAAAGGCGTTCCGTCCAGATGGTTCCAAGATGTGCCGAGCAGAGACAATGGTGCAGAAGCAGGGGAGTCGGGCTGCTGCCAGTGGTGGACAATGTTCATGTGGATACGCGCAGTTTGTTAGCGGGGAAGACTCCACCGGAAGGGCAGGGATCCGACATGTCTACGCAATAGTGAGCAGACGGCCTGTCTTGCGACACTGAACTCTGGTCCTGCGATGTGAGACTGAGACTGTGTTGCAGTTGTAGTAGTGAGTGAATGCAGTCGTGTTGATTATGCATCACCGCATCAGGCTGTCAGCAATTTTACAGTGTGATAGCACCTGCATGCGACGGCATCCATGCGGCCCAAAGCAGAAACCCTGCTTCGGGGTGCATTGCGCGGACAGCGCCTGTGACATGTGCATGGTGGAATCGCAAGCAACACCCAGCGCTTCCACGACGCTCCCCCTCATTATACAAACAACCTCATACTTACCACTCGCCACTGCCCCAAACGCCACACTGGCGCACCCTTAACCTTCTACTGTCATCATTGATGGGCCTGGTTGCCGGTCATCCTTGGCACCTGCCGGCGACGTTAGCGACGCCTCTGCGGCCTTTATCCGCCTGAAGACTGGCACCTCCCCCGTTCAGCCCTCGGCCACGCACTCGCATTCACTGCCCTTCCCTGACCATCCCGCCGAGTCTGTTGCTTGACCACCAGCGCTCTTCGCATCGCATGGCCGATAACGATCCGTTCCCAATTCACCGCTAGCGATTGTGGCACGGGCAGTCACTGCGAACGACTACAGCCTCTAGGGAGCCGACTCTCCATCGCCACGCCCGCAGTCGTTGCCGTCACCATCACCGATTCATCACCTTCTCCGGCCCTTGCCTTAGCCCTCCCGCCGCCACCTCCAACTTATCGCAACCACTCCACGCGCGATAGATACTCTGTCGCCGTCGTGTCCAGTCGCCTCCTGA